TATCATTATTATTATTATTATTAATAATTTCGGCGAATCGTTCATTCCATTCGAAGAATTATTTTTATTAATTATTATTAATTAATTAATTGAAAAGAAAACGAAAACTTGTCTTATGTATTTATTATATAAAGTAGCTTATAATTGTATGTAATTTTTTTTCTGTTTTGTTTGTTTTTCGTATCAAATAGGATAATATTTAAAAAAAAATGTCTGGTTAAAATTTAAAATAAAATAAAATAAAATTTCCTGTGAAATATTTTAAATATTTAATTAAAAAAGAAAAAAAAGAGAGGAAAACGGTTAAAAATTTGTAAATTTTTAAATTCTATTTCGTCGGCTACGTCATCATTAACTTCTTAGACCGTTAAAAACAAAATGGCGGCAAGTGTTGACGATACGTGAATGTTTTTCGTTTGGGATTAGAATATAATAAATTCAAGGTAAATTATTATTTATTTATTTTAAAAAATATTTTTTTAACAAACGAGTTTTTACTTATTAACTTATTAATAAAAGTTTTAATAATTATTTTAATTAACTATTAAATAATTACGAATGAATTTTTTAATAAATAATAAAATTCACGACTCGGAAACTAATTATTACGGTTTAAAAGTTTTATTAAATCTTTTTTTTTTTTTACAAAAAAAAATTCAGGGTCGTCGTTTTAAATGATTTTTTAATTAATGATTACACGCACACGCACACGCAAATTAATTATTATTTAAAACTGTTATTTAATTTAAATTTTAAAAAATAACGTATAACGAAACCTCCCCCTCACTGAACTCTTTTCGCGTTTTAAAAAACTATTTAAATTTATATCTTTATTATTATTATTATTATTATTTCACTTAAATTCACACAAGAAATAATAATAATAATAATAATTTATATGAGAAACGTTTTTCGTTTTTAAAACGGTAAAAAGACTTCGACGAAATGACGGTTGAAACGAAAGCCGCCATTTTTGTTTTTAATAAATTTAATTTATTTTTTATTACTATGTATATGATTTAATTTTTTTTTTTTTACACGTTTTTTAATTTAATTTAACGCGAAATAATAATAAAGTCGAATTAAATAAATTATAAAATAAATACGAAAAGAGTAAATAAATATATATCGATCGTTTCTTTTTATTAAAAAAAAAACGAAACGAAAAAAATTTTTTTTTTACGCGTTGTTAACTAACAAAGGTTAATGAGAGAGAGAGAGAGAGAGAGAGAGAGAGAGAGAGAGAGAAAAATGGCCGCTTGAATATTTAATTAGCGGTTACGATTCGAATCCTACGAAATTATTTTTTTTTAAATGTATAAATGAATTCTTTTTGTTTTTTCTTTTAGGAACAACAACAACAACAACAACGAAAACAATTCATCATTTAACAAACAAACAACCGAACAAACATTATTCACGTCGAATGATCGATAATGAAATCATAATAAAAGGTAATTATAATTATTACGTTAAACTTCCATCTTTTAACTGTCGCGGTTTATGACGTCACGTTCATAGAAACGGTTAAATATTTTGCATTTTCGGGGGAAAAATGATTAAATAAAATCCGCGATCGACACGAGATCAAACGATTCTTTTCGTCACACGAAATCAAATTAAAAATTTAAATAAATTTTAACCAAACGTTAAATTATAAATAAATAAATAAAATAAAACTTATTCGAATTCGTCGTAGTTGAATTAACCGACGGACGCGCGCGGGTGCGTTCACGAATACTCATCGTCATGTGATGACGTAATACATGAACGTTACCTTTCATGCCGATTAATAATAATCCAATAACAAACCCCACTTATCCGTTTCTAATAGAATTTCGCTATAAAAATTATAAATAAAATGAAAAATGATTTATTTATAATTAAAATCCGACGAATCCGTGAAATTGCAGCAAAAAAGAAACAAAAAATTAATAATAATAATAATTTTTTTTTGCAATTTTTCGAGTAGAAAAAAACGAAATGAAATAAAATAAAAATTATAAGAAGAACGTTTCGTCATATGTTTAACATATGGTAAAGTAAACGATTTTATTTATTTCAATTACAATAACGATTTTTAATGGGAAAAAATTAGTCTCGGGTGATAATTTAAAGTCGTGACGTCACGCACAAACTGACTAAATCCGTAAAGTTAGTTACCGGTTTCGATAAATCATTTTATTTTATTTTTATTTTTTTTTGCCGGGAGGTAGGAGGAATAGGGAAGAGACGAAGGGGATCCCTAAGGAACCGTGTAAGGAAACATTACACGATCGGTAAATTTTATTAAAAAATTTCGTCGCGAAAATAAAAAATGAAAAATTTCCCCGGAGTGAGTTTAAGGTAAATATTACGTAATGATAATTAATTAGCGAAAAAATTTGAATTTCGTAGCAGACGACACACAAACAAAATCATTTCGTTTTAAAAATGATTCGACATTTTTTTTTAAACAGGTAAAACGAAAAAAAAAAATGACTAATTACCTCAGGAGGAATAATAAAAATTCGTCATTTTAAATCTCATTCATTCCCATTTTTTTTTTTATTTAAATTCCCACGCTACCCCCTCCCTCCCCTTCTCTCTTCCCGTAATTTCCTCCCTTCCCCCCGGGGGGTTTAATCAGTCATTTGTTCATGAGTTCAAAAGGTCGTTGAAATTTAATAAAAAAAAATTTCGGAACGATTCGAATGGTTTGGAAAAAACCGGAAATTTGAATTCGTAGTGGCAGGAGGGAAAAAAAAAAAAAAAAAAAAAAACGTGTCGCAATCAATCAAAACTAATCCGCCCACGTACACGTACGTGTAAATAATAATAATAATAAGATAATACGAAAAAAAACGGGTTTTCCCCCAAAAAAAATTTTTCATTCGGCTTCATACGTCGCATTTTTTTTTATTTATTTTTCCGCGAATAAATTTCAAATAAAATTTATTTATTTATTTATTGATTAATAAATCGTTTTTCTTTTTCATCCGTTACAAAATCATTAAATCATTTTATTTATTTTTATTATGGCGGAATAAAAAAAAAAAACAAAAATAAATTCGCAGGAGTTTACGTTTTTATTGTTTTTTTTTTTTTTTTTTTTTTTTTTTTTTTTTTGAGATACGATAATAATCTTTCGGGGTAATATACATGATTCTCATTTCCTGTGTGTGTGTGTGTGCGTAAGTGCGTAAATGCGCGTGAAGAGTGAGTGAGCGTGTGTGTGTGTGTGTGTGTATATGGATGATGAATTTAAGTTTTAAAAGAAGGAATTTTTAAAAATCATTGTTTAGTTTATTAATAACTTTGTTACCGCGCGTTACATATAAACCTAATAATAATAATAATAATAATAATAATAGTAATAATAGTAATAATAATAATAGTAGTAATAATAATAATAATAAGTAAACATGAGTATCGAACGTTTGAATATTTTTTTTTGTGAGTAGTGTTACACACCATTATTTATTTATTTATTTATTTATTTTTAATTTGTTTGTTGTTTGTTTGTGTTTGTTGTTTGTTGGTTGTTGTTGTTGTCGTCACTCCTTGTCTTTATTGTTTGTTACCAAAGGTTCAGGTTTAAGTAGAAAAAAAAAAAAAATTTTTTTTTGTTTTGTTAATTTTTATTTTAATTTTTTATTTAATTTTTTATTTATTAATAAAATATCATCATTATCATTATCATTATCATTATTATTCGTCTGGAAAGGATTTTTTTTTTGGAATTTCTCGTTTTTCTACAGTTTTTATTATTATTATTATTATTATTAGATTCAAAGCATGAAACGTATATTTAAATTAAACGTATTTGACGTAATGGTTTTTCCTTTTTTATCCAGCGATCTATATGTTTATGTTTTTTTTTTTTTCCTCAAGGTCAAAGTTCCATCATCATCATCATCATCATCATCATCATCATGTTAACAATTCACATTTATTTATATTTATTGTTCAGGTACAACAACAACCAACCAACAACCAAAGTTACGCCTTTCGTTTTTTTTTTTTTTACGGTTTAATTTTTTTTTTTTTTTTGTTTAAACAAAGTCCCACGCGTATGGAATTAATAATAATAATAATAATTTAAACATTTTCCAGTCGTTTTATTAACAATAACAATCCACAGTTACCATGCATACGAACAAAATGGAGAATATTTATCCAGGAACGGATACGAGGGAATACGAAACGTTCGATCGAACGTTCCATCAAATCAAACAAACGATTCGACCATCATCGATGGAATATCCAGGCTGACGACGTCACTTTTTCACGTAATTTAATAATAATAATAAAACTAACGATGATAAATAATAATAATAATAATGATGATGATTTTAATAACTCCAGGAAATATACATACGTGCCGGACCGAATTTCAACATGGTTTTCAGTCCGATAAGCATATGGACGATATTGGCAGTTTTACTGGAAGGTTCGACTGGAAAAACGGAAAACGAGCTAAAATTAAAATTAAAAATGTCTTATCGGGATCACGATGAAGGCGTACAAATCCTTAGGTCTCGTTACAATGACGTCATCAGGTCCCTAGAAGGTATTATCACTCCTCCAACTTCTCCAGATAAAAAAAAATGCTGGAAAATGTACACAATGGGCAATACTACAATCATTTTTTTTATTTCTATTTGATTCCAGATAAAAACGGGACGTCCACAGAATTTTCATCCCTTAATTTTGTGATAACTGATAAGAACGTGACGTCAGAATTTAAAAAAATATTTGAAAATTATTACCACGGTAAATATTTTAACATCGATAATAAAAAGAGTAATTTATTTTCCGTCGTCGTTAACGGATGGGCACAAGACGAATCCAACGGTAGAATAAAATCCATCGTGTCTTCTGGTAATTATCATTATCATCACCAGTCTCTCCCCCCCTCCCCGTGACGGAACCTTCTCCAGTTTTGGGTAAACCTTTTTGTTTTCAGATATGTTGGACAACGTCGTCATGATATTGGGAAACGCCGTGTATTTTAAATCTAAATGGAAATATCCTTTCGATTCTTCCGACACGTTTCCCATGCCTTTTAAAAACGACAACGGCAAAGTAATAGCAAACATACCCATGATGAACGTGGCAGCAGTGCTACCACTAGGTTACAATTCTTACCTCGATTCGCAAATTATCGAAATACCATACGAAGTAAGTACCTTGAAACGTCATCGTTTTTTTCGTCGAAATTCGTCCGTTCGTAAAATTCGTTTTTCTTAAAGGATGACGTCACATCGATGATAATAATACTTCCGCATCAGAAAACCGGATTGGAAAAAGTTTTATCGCTCATGAAAAGTTTAACGTTGGATGAAATAATACCGAAAAATACGAGCGAAGAAACTGTACAAATATCACTACCCAAATTTCGTGTCACTAGTAAAATGTATTTAAACGATATATTTCAAAAGGTGAGTAGGTGGAAACCGGAAACGTTGTTAATCTTTTTACTTCCGGTTTGATAATAATAATAATTTTTTTTTTTTTTTTTTTTTTTTGTAGGAACTTCCGACCATGTTCAGTTCTCAAAGTGCTGAATTTCACAGGATAGGTAAAGATGTTTTCGTTAGTAAAATATATCATAAAGCGGAAATAGAAAATTCGGAAGAGGGTACGATCGTTTCCGCCGTATCGAGTAAGTCGATTTTTTTTTTTTTTTTTTATTTCTTCTCCTTCCTCCTTCTTCTTCTTTTTTTACGCGCGTTAAATTTTTTTTTTTTTGGCGGGGGGGGGTTTCGTTTACGAAAAACGTTCTTTATTATCATTATCATTATCATTATCATTATCGTCGTCGTTTTTTTATTTTTTTTATTTTCAGGGGTTCAATTCCCATATAAAAGTTCGTCGTCTGTTTTTCGTGCCGATCATCCGTTCGTTTATTTAATTAACGATATTAAAACACGAACAATACTTTTTGCTGGAACTTTTTCAAATCCGTTCATGGCTACGACATCTTTTTAAAAATATTATTATTATTATTATTTAAATTATTTTTATTTGTCACCTTTTTTTTAAAATTAAATATCGTACGAGAGAGAAAAAGAGAGAAAGAGAGAGACAGAGAAAGAGAAAAACATGCGCGTGTTTGTTTTGTTTTTTTATTTTTGTTTTTATTTTATTTTTTCCTTCTCTTCTTATAATCATCATCATCATCATTATTATTATTATCTTTTCTCCAGTCGTGTTAAAAAAAAATTTCAACGAATTGAAACGACGACATTTTATTATTTTTAATATCAATCATAATCAATTATAATTATTACTTTTATTATTATTATTAAAAGTTTTCCAACAGAGAGAGAGGGGGGGCAATAAGGGGGGGGTAAGGGGGGGAAAATTAATTAAATTTAATTATTTTAAAAAAATATTATAAGTCTGAACGGAAATGAAAATCACCTGAACTGGAGAAAAATTTTTCTAAAAAAAAAAAACTTTCCAGGGGGATTATCGTGTTAGAAAAAAAAAAAAAAAAAAAAAAACGACTTTAAAAGATTTTCTTTTTCCTTTTTTTTGACACGGACGTTAATTTATTTTATTTTCTAAATTTATTTCCGTTTCCGTTTTTTCTCTTTTTATTATAACGTATAAATTCAAAACTTTTCTTTATTTCTTTAAAAAAAAAAAAAAAAAAAATTCCCTTGGGAAAAATAATAATAATAAATTAATAAAAATAACGTAAACAAAAATATAATAATAATAATAATAATAATAATAATAATAATGGTAGTTTTTTAATTAAATTATTTTCCCCCTCCCCCTACCCCGATCCCATAAATTAAATATTAATAATTTACAAGGCTGTGATTTTAATTATTTTCCTTGAATAAGAAAAACAACGAATCAACCAATGGGGGGAGAGGAGGGTACGTTCAGGAATTTTTTTTTTTATTAATTAAAAATCATTTTTCGGTTCGCTCAGGATTTCGTTTATACACTCTATGGTTTTTTAAAATTTTTTTTTGACAAACCACAGGGTGTACAAAAATAAAAAATTAAACGCAATTTTTTTTTTTTCAAAATAAAAAATAAAAATATAATTTATCCATTTATTATTTAAAATAAAATATTAATATTAACAAAAAAAAATAAAACTTTAATAATAATAATTTTCAATAAATAAATAAATAAATTTTTATGTATAATATATATATATATATTTAAAATAACGTAATAATAATAATAATTAATAAGAAGAAATTTTTTTTTTTGTGATATGTATTTGATTTTTTTGGTCGCGAATTATTAACGCACGAATACGTACGATCGATATGTTAATAATGATATGTATTCAAATTATTTATTTATTTATTAAAATAATAATAATGATAATAAATGGGTTAACACAAACAAGTTTAGGGATGAGTGGCGGGGGGGGTGGGAAAGTGCATGCACAAGGTTGAATGAACGAACGGTTGGTTGGTTTAGTTTCGCGTGCGAAAGAAAAACGAAAAAAATTTTTTTCCATCCGCCATTTTGAATTAATAAATAAATAATTAAATAAATAAATTATAATAATAATAAATTTCGTTGTTTTTCACACACAAAGAAAACAGATACTCACGAGTATTATACTTATTAATTGACCTTTTTAATAATAATGATAATAATATTATTAATTAACGGTTTTTCCGTTATTTATTATTATTAATTAATAACGTGATAATATTATCATTAATTAATAACGCGTGATTATTAATTAATAAATGACGTCATTAAAAAAAAAAAAACTCGAAAGAAAATAAACGAACGAGTTGTCAAATAATATTTCAAAAAAAAACAAATATGGCGGATGCATTAAAAAAAAAAAAAAAAAAAAAAAAAATGGAAATCGATAGGTAAAAAAGAAAATTATCATCATCATCATCATCATCAATAATATCAATCAATCAATCAATCAATTAATTAATTAATAAAACTAATTCATGCTCCTCGTTTATTAATAATAATAATTATATTACTTTTATATCCGCGTATTTAGTTATTTTTTTTTAAATCGAACGATCGATCGATCGAATCGAATGGAAAAAAAAAAATTTCTCATTTAAAAAAAAATTATCGGGGGGAGACGATTTTTTTTTTTTTTTTAAATTTTTTCTCAATTAGAAATTTTTTTTATTTTTATATTATTATTATTATTAATTAATTCGGCGATTTTCTTTCTCTCTTTATTTTAATTAATTACGTAAGCACGAATGAGAGAGAGAGAGAGAGAGAGTGAGAGAGAAAACAACGTCGACGTAAATGGTGTTCGTTATTATGAAGACTCAAAAAAAATTATTATTATTATTATTTTTTTTTAGTAAGTAAACAACGTCTTATTTTATTAAAACATTTAAAATTTTCTTTTTTTTTTTATTTAAAAAATTTGAACGTTTTATGTACATAATTATGTATAAATATATTTATCGGTGAATTATTAATAATTAAGAGACCACTAAAAAAAAATTTTTTTTTTTTTGGATAAAAATCGGGTAATAATAATATATATTAACACGATCTACACACAAAATTTTAAGGGGTAATGGAAAAATATCGATATATCGATCGATACGTCGATCCATCGAGCGTATCTCGCACGTACGCGCGAAAAAATTCAAAAATTTAAAAAAAAAAAAATCCCTACGATAAGTTAAGTATTGCATTTCATTGTATTCCTTTTTTTTGGCAATTTTAAATTTCGCGCCTTTCTTTCTATCCTTTGACGAAAGTAAATCGCCGAATAATAATAAATTTTCAAAAGAGGAGCAAATGAATAATAAATGATCACGCGACAGTTATAAATAATAATAATGATAATAATGATAATAATAAATTGTAAAGAAAAAGAAATTAATCTAAAAATCCGGTGTTGACTAATTTCTCAAGGAAAAATTTAACGTCTCCCAATTCGGAATCTTTTATTCCCAAACTTTTCAACATTCCCAAATCTCCATTTTCGACGGCCATGAAAACGCTACGAAGATGTTCCAGATCGGATCTCATCAAATGCAAAGCAGCACCGAAATCTTCAATCGTTTGAGATTCTGTTCGTTTGCAAAAAAAAAAAAAGGAAGGAAAGAAAGAAGAAAAAACCGTTAGACATTTTTTTCCGGATAGGATTAAAACGTTAATATGTTTGAACGATACGAAAGCTAAACATGGGAGTTACATGGAATTTAAACAGTAAATTTGTTCAAACGCGTTCTTCGATTTCGCGTTTATTTTTTAACCGTTGGAAAATTTTTTTTTTTTAGTGTTTCCGGGTTCGGTTTCCGATGTTTCCGGTGGCGCGGCGGATCATTATTATTATTATTTTTTTTTTATTCGGTCGTTAAATCCGCTCGGAAAGTTTATTCATCCCTCGTGTGCGAGCATTTAAACGAACGATAAATAAAAAATTTTTTTAAGCAATAATGAACGACGACGACATAATTGAGAGAACGTTCATTCACGGAAACAAAATTTTTTTTACGGCAGTGACGTCATCGTCTTTCTTACATTCGCAATGCGCGTTCAGTTTTTATCCCTTCCTCCCCCCTTTCCCCATAAGCACCATTATTATTAATTATTCTGAGTAAACTCTTACAACGCCGAGATTTATCGATTTTTTTTTTTTTTTTAAATTTTCTCAAGTTGGCAACGGAAAGTTTTTTAACGATTAAAATTATTATTATTATTATTATTTTTCCGGCGAATTCGTTTCTCTAATATTACGCACGAAATTAATTAACGAAAATTTTCCAACGGTAAATAATATCGAACGGATTTTTAAAAAAAAAAGTTTTCAAGCGTTCGCATTAATAATAATGATAATAATAATGATAATAATAATGAACCTGATAAAGCGATTGCGACGGGTTTGACTCCTCCGACAGGTGACAAAGCTTCTCTCGCTTTTGTTCCAAATAATTTTTCTAAATAATTTGGTCCGTGACTTGCCAAAAGTGATTGCAAAAAACTCGCAGTTTCTTCCACCGGTGGTCGTTTTGCTACGGTTCAAAAAAACAAACAAACAAACAAACAAATTTTTTTATTAATAATAATAATATTAATGAAAACACTTTTACGGCGAACGGGAATTTTTTCAAGCGCAACAACGACAACATCAACAACAACAGCCAACACGTAATAATAAGACAATTTTCGCAATAGCAAATTATTTATTATTATTATTATCATTATTGTTGTTCTCCTTAGCAAAAATCAAAACAAGCATTTTTTTTTTCGAACGTATAAACGCGAACATAAATTTCTTTTTTTTTTTTATATATCCGCAAACATTTACCTTTTGCTAAAAGCCTTTTTTTTTTTCTTTTCCTTTGACGATTTATTCCTTTGTCAATATCATTGCAATAATAATAATAATAATAGAAAAATTAGAAAAAAAAAAAAAGAGAAACATGTTGCGCTCAAACTTTGCCAGATCAGTCTTCCCAATGTATTTACAAGAAATAATAATAATAATAATAATAATAAAGAAGACTGAACTGCCCAGCGAGAACCACGTGGAGGTGTTGAGCTATTCTCACCGGGAATAAATGGATAGAAAAAGGAAAACGTTCTGGAAATTTTGGACCAGGGGATAGGGGAAAGGTAAGTCACGTGACGTGGAACAACCCGAAAAAAAATCCACCGTTCGCCTTATGCATGCATGTATGAGAGAACAATTTTAAACCCACCACGCCTACCACTACCTTCCCCGTAATAAAACCTTCACCCCCCACCCGTCCCTCTTCATTAAATCAACCTGAATTAATTATTATTATTATTATATTATCGTAAATACCCACATAATTTATATTTTTCTTCCTCTCCGCTCCATCAGGAGCCCCCGCCCTCCTCCCCCCTTCTCCTGATTTTACAAAAAAAATTTTTTTTTACAAATTAGGTAAATGTTTGCGGGTCGCCGACTCAATTTTATTCTAAAAGAAAAAATCGATATCGATTATTATTATTATTATTATTGAGTTTGTTGTGTTCAGATTACGTGATTATTATAAATTTTTTTAAACCGGAAACAGTTGTTTGTAGACCGTTTAAATAACATAAGTTGATTTATTTAAAGAACGAAAAAAAGAATAAGCCTTACCTAATTACGAGTAGAACGATTAATAATAATAATAATAATAATTGTGTATCATCGTTGTTATTATTACCCTTATTATTATTATTATTATTATTATTAACATCAACGACCGTCATTTTGTTGTAAACACGTTTTACATACCGGCTGTGCATAATTTAGAATCTTCGTCGTAACCGTCTTCGCAATCTGGAGCCCCATCGCACAGGTATTGAATTGATATGCAGGCACCATTACCTGGACATCGAAATGGTTCGTATGCTCGACACATTTCATCCCCTTAAACAAAAAAAAAGGAAAAAATTATTATTATTATTATTATTATTATGAAAAAGTCAAGGACAAAAGGAAAAAACGAATCTAAATGTAATTCATTAACGCTGAGTAGTTTTTTTCTTTTCCTATGTATATATACATTTTTATCTTTTTAATTTCCGGTTTCCGGTCTGTCGATTTCCCCCCCCCCTCTCTCTCTCTCTCTCGGAATTTTTAATGGAGTTTGTATGTAATGAATGTGACGTCGTCGTGCTTCGCGACTTTATTACTTTTTTTTTTATATTACAATTCATACACAATTTTTTATACAAAAAAAAAAGGTAAAGTTTTTAATAATAATAATAATAAAGCTGATGTAGACTGTGGGTCAGAGGGGGCCGGGAGTTAGTGGCGTGCTCCTGTAATCCAGCTACTTGGAGGCCGGGTGCAACGGATGCCTCTGGTCGTATATTCGGATCCTAATTGCCGCGCATTGTTTTAAACGGTCAGCGGGAGCACTTCGGGGTCCCGACCGAGTGTTTTCGTCGACCAACAGGGTATCTAGGGACTTAGTCTCGGTGCGCGGCGGTTGAGAGCCGTTTTCCCCGTTTGCAGACGAAGAGTCAGACCTGTACCTTACCAACCTTCCGGGGGGAAAAGAAGTATGGGACTCGGCACTTTTCTTTCAGGGTACATCATCCTACTCCGGGAATGCGAGCGGAAGAACTACGGGAAGATCTTCTTGCGCGGGGTCGACTCGTCTCCGGAAGTTCGTCGTCCTCGGGAGTGGTTCGCGGGCGTAGGACGGCGCGTGCGATTTACTTCAACGGCAGATAAGAAGACTGCGACGGCTCCAACAAACGTCAACGTCGGGGTTTGCACCGGTCGGATTCTCCCACTTCGGACTGCAAGAGTCAATCGGACGGACTGCGGGGGATGTTTCGTCGAGTCCGCAACTTCGGAACTTCTCACCGCCTCAGGAAGCTCACTTCGTCTCTGCGGAGGAGGCGGGAACGATGTGGCAGGTCGGAACCGTCTCCCGAGGCACGAGGGAGGAAAGGATACGTCCCGGTACTTCGAGTCGGGCTCCGGATCTCTTGCTCGATTCTGTCGGGGGGAGATTCGTTCCGGCTTCGGTGCGTTGGCGTTCTTCGCGGTGGCCAGGGTCTGGCAAACTTCCGGTCGTCGCGGAGACGTCGTGGGGGGGGGAACGGGGATTAATGTTTCTGATTTTCATGTCTTCGATCTTTCTCCCGGTGCGAGCATCGGCAGGGGCGCGCAGGTGAAGGAAACCGGCGGTCCGGTTCCGGAAGCTCGCGTCTCCTGCGGCGGAGGCGGGAGCGACGTGGCAAGTCGCGAACGTCTCCGCAAAGGTGAGGGTGAGGACGCTCGGCGGCGGCGGGCGCGTACCCGTCGTCGTCGGGCGAACACACACACACACACTTCTTTTCTTTCATCTCGAGGGTCGGCGACCCCGGCCGATTCCTCTTCCCTCCTTTTCAATTCCCCACACCGATAGGGAGGATGCGATCAAAAAGTAATTCTTCACTTTAATCTTTTGCCCCTTTTCAGGTGACGTGATAAGTCTCAATCCCCAGCCCCGATCGCATCCTCAGGAAACAGGCGCGTTTCCCGTCCAATTCCCCACGGCGAGGGACCGGAAGACACTCCCGAAAGGGACTGCCGAACGTCCCGGGAGATGCGTTCTCATCTTCGAGGTGACCGCGGAACAAAGATTAGGGCGCATTTCCCCACCGGCGATCATGAGGAACGGTTAATTTTCTGGCTTACCGGAGAGAGGAGACTAAAATGTGGGTTATACTCCCACGAGCGTCTCCCCCCCCTTTCCATACAGGTCACGCTATAGCGACATGCCCAGGAGTTTTAGTGGGTAGGGGTCCCAGTTAGGCTTGCTTTCGATTCCAAACCGAGCCCCACACTCCCTCCGTAAAAGGAGGGGTAGTGCGTAACCACATTTCTCCTTGGTCAACAAAAAAAAAAGATAGTGCGTCAGTAGAAAAGATATGCATATGCACATAAGATATAAGATATGCACATCGTGAGGGCAGCACTGGGAGCCATGCCTCATTCACAAAAAGGGAAGAAACCGTACAGGAAGTAAAATGGCCGACATTCCTTGACAGCACCACCGATATTCGAGCATTTATCCCTAAGGAATCAGGTAGAGACCTGGAATGGATGCCTTAAAAACTCCGACAAGTACATGGAATCTTACCGTATTCGAAAGTGATAATAATAATAATAATAATAATAAACATAAAAGTTTTATAGGTTTTTAACGTTCCTACAATTCGATTTTTTAGATCGTAAATATCGGTTAGTTCCAACCTAGAAAAACCGTTACAAAAAAAAAACAATAATTACTTTTTAAATTAAATTTATCACCGCCTTGTAAAATAAGAAAATTCCCAATTTAAATGCCCTATGAACAAAAAATTTATTAATTACGTTTTATCACACGTCGGAAAATTTTGTCTCTTCCCTCTCCTCACACCCCTCCCTCGCTCTAGATCAAATTTAAATTTTATTACCCGTTACAAAAAAAAAACAAAAACGTCATTTTAGTTAATAAAAATAAAAATGGCGGCAGCACCAAGAGAGAGAGAGAGAGAGAGAGAGAGAGAATAAAAAACGATAAAAAAAACATTATGTACGTTACGATTATAATAAAAATAAAACGTCGCAAAAAAAGGCGCGCGCCGTAATTTAATTTAAAATTAAATTAATAACGGTTTTTTTTTTTGTACGGTTAAAAAGGAAAAGAAAAGTTTTTAAACGGAAATCTCTTACGAAAGAACGAACGCGAGCGACGCACACGCACACCCACACCCACACACACACAACAAAACTGAATTCAATTATAGCAAAAGTTAATATTGTCGGTAGCAAAAAAAAAAAAAGTGTCCGACACACCAAAGACTAAATAATAATCCGAGACTTTTTTATTTATTTACTTTTAACGTTTTAATTTCGTTAATTGCAGGGGGTTTTTTGTTGTTTATTTACTCTATGTACTTTTTTATTATCCCTTATTTATATCCATTTTTTTTGTTTGTTTGTTTGCTTTGGTTAGGTTTAATACTCTAATTTCGAAAGAGTAAAAAAATTCTTTCTGTTAAGTAGATTCATTTTATTATTTTGGTTTAAAAAAAAAAAAAAAAATGATGATGAATGGTTGAAAACCGGGTCGGGGGGAATGGCGGGCGCGCAAAAGACGACCGTGTCGGAAGCCAGCTACCTTCCGCTCCTTTCCGTCCTTCCGCGAGTGGGGGGAGGATTTTCGAAATCAAGGGTGAAAACAGGGCGGCCAAGGCGGCGGAGCTGGCCGCGGAGCTTTCTAAGGTCGTGGAGCCGATGGCGGTCACGGCCCCGCAAGAAGGGTCGACCTTCGCGTCGAGGGTCTCTGCGAGTTCGCGACGTCGTTCGACGTCGCTCTCGCGTTGTCCAGGGCGGGCGGATGTTCTATCTACGACGTTTTGGTGCGTCCTCCGGTCGGAGGGGGCTCACGACCGCGACTGGGGTTCGCGTCCGTTTCCGCAGCCGCCGCGTCCGTCCTCCTCGAAGCGGGCAAGGTGACCGTCGGTTGCGTTAGAGCGCGGGTGATTCTTACGCGTCCCGCCGAAGCGAAAGCCTGGGTGCGCCGTGTCCCAAGTTCGAGGGTAAGGTAGAGGGAGCGCAGGAACGTTGCTTCAGGTGCGGAGGGACGGAGCACCGGGCGCGCGAATGCGCGAACTCGATTCGTTGCGCGGCATGCGCGGAGGCCGGCCGTCTGGCTAACCAGCGGTTGGGCGGTCCTTCGTGTTCGGCGCCTTCGGTCAAGGGAAGAGCCATCCGTTGGGGTGCGACTGGGGTGCAGGGGGGCAAGACGTGGGAGACTTCTCCGTGCGAGCCGAGAACAAACGGCTCTGCCCAGAGTTCGAAGTAAACATGGGGAAGTTTCTCCAGATCAATTTAAATCACTGCAGGGGTGCGCAAGATATTCTGCTCAATCAGGTGGGCGCATGGGGGGTCGACGTCGTCATGATTTCGGAACCCTACGCCGTTCCAAAAAGGGGGGAAAGCCGCGACGGCTCTTGGTTCGGATCCGAGGACGAAGCGGCCGCGATCCTGTTCTCGAACTCGGTCCGGACGCCGAGGCATCGGGAACTTTCGCGGGGGGAGGGTTTCGTTCTGGTCAGATGGGGAAACGCGGTTCTGGTGTCTGCTTACGCGTTGCCAAATCGACCCGTCGATCAGTTCGAGAATTTCTTGCACGCGCTCGCGAGGGAGATCGATCGGTTCGGGGGGGGGCCTCGTCCCACTCTCGTCTGCGGCGACTTCAACGCCAAGCACGTCTCGTGGTCGGGATACGCGAACAACGCGCGCGGCCGACTCCTCAAGGAGTGGTTCGACTCGCGTCGTTTCGTCGTGCGGAACAAGAGGGGGCAAAACTTGTGTGCGGGCCACCGTTGAATCCGTGATCGATCTCACGGTTTCTTCCGTCGCAGTCGCGGCGTGGGTCTCCGGCTGGGAGGTCCTTTCCGATTTCGAGTATCTGAGCGACCACGTCTATCTGGCGTTCTCGTTCAAGGCTCCTCGGAGTTCGGCGGGGCTACCTCTCGGTCCGGCGGTCCTCGTGTCGTCGTTCCGCCGCGGTGAAGCCTGAGGTCGATGGACGAAGAGCGGCTCGTCGAGTGTCTCGCCGCAGAGTCGTGGCGAAGGGCCAACGTTTGGGGGAT